TTATCAAATATTTGAGTATTTAAGAAACACTTCAGGGGCCGATCCCATGGCTGAGTGGTTAAGTTCCTGCGCTCTGCACCAGCAGCCTGGGGTTTTGCTTGTTCGGATCCTGGACGAGGACATGGCGCCACTCGTCAGGCTACACTGAGGCGGCATCCCACATAGCAGAAGCAGAGGCACTCACAACTAAGATGTGCAACTATGTACTGGGGGGCTTTGGGGAGAAGGGAAAAAAAGAAAAAGAAAGAAAAAGAAGATTGGCAACAGATGTTAGCTCAGGTGCCAACCTTTAAAAAAAAAAAAGAAATACTTTAATTGCATTCTTAGTTAAATGTTGTTATTGCCCATGTTACAGATCAAGCTAATATTTAAAGACATCGGTTTTCCAGTGTTGCTGAGCTAATAAATGAAATTTTTGGGGGCTTCACTCATTAAACAAAAGTTACATCCACAAATTTCTTCAAAATAAGCTCTTCTCTATGTTAGGGTTCTGTTGCAACAATTGAGGCTTCTTTTATGTCCTATTGTCTGACTAGCAGTTCTCTGAGGCACATTCTTAGATCTTTCTGACAATTTAACAAAGGATTTTTGAGCCAGACCCTCAGAAGCATTTTTAGAACATACTCTCGTGACAGTGCCCTGGTTTTGACCCTTGCCCAAAAGTCATTTCTTAATCTTAGAATCACTTGCCTAGGAATTTTCAAAACCAGCAAGTCCCAGCTTTGTTAGCTTATCTATCTCCTCTCCCATTTTGCTACAGGCAGCAAGAAGAAATTAGGCAGTGCCTTCTTTGAATAGGGCTGACTTGTGTAAACAATAAGACCTTTTGGGGAGTAATGACGGTGAGAGATTTCCGAAACTGTCATTGCAGCTTCCATCTTGCTTTCTATTGAATGCTTTAAAGTTATCCCATTGCTACTTTTCTAATACCTTTATCATTCCTGGGTCAGGCTGCTTGTTTAAAAAATGTAGCATTCCATTTGTCCTTATTTTTCTCCCTTGCCAAAAAGATTTTCCAGTACTGCTTGTACCAGCCAGGGAAATGCTCCAAAACACTGTTCAGATCTCTTGCACTGTGGAACTTATTTGTTTCCCCTGTGATTGACTCCTGGCTTCCATCAGCCAAGCTTGCCTTGGTGTGGTTTGGATTTGATCGCTAATTAGTTCTGTGCTGGTTGCAAAGAATTCATATTGAGATGATTTTTTAAATTCAGATTGTCTTCCTTTATATCTGTTTTATGTTGTATAAGCCTCTTTGTCCAATATATGATAGTTCTGCTGATGCCTTATTGTTTATTGGTGAACATATCTTCATTAAGAGTTTTTGGAAAACTGATCAAACTCAACGAATAAATTTTCTTCATAATCCATTTGAAATTATTTCTAATAAAATGATAGGGGGCCGGCCCCGTGGCCAAGTGGTTAAGTTTGCCCGCTCCACTTTGGTGGCCCAGGGTTTCACCAGTTCGAATCCTGGGCGCGGACATGGCACTGCTCATCAGGCCACCCTGAGGCGGCGTCCCACATGCCACAACTAGAAGGACCCACAATTAAAAGATACACAACTATGTACTGGGGGACTTTGGGAGAAAAAGGAAAAAAATAAGATGTTAAAAAAAGTTTAAAAAGTTTTTTTTAAATTATAAAACATGTTAAAAAAAAAAAGCCAGCCACCATGTCGTGAGTCAGGAATTAGAGAGTGACTTAGCTGGTTGGTTCTGGCTCTGCGTCTCTCGTGATGTTGCAGTCAAGATGTTGGCTGGGGCTGCTGGCGTCTGAAGGCTGACTGGTACTGAAGGATTCATTTCCAGGGTGGCTCACTCACACGCCTGGCAAGCTGGTGCTAGTTGTTGTCGAGAGGCCTCAGGTCCCCCAAACATGGGACTCTCCACAGGCTGCCTTCTTCTTTCCTGTCTTCTTTCTTTCTCCTTCTTTCACAAGATGTGCCTCCAGAACCCAAAAAGGCCTAAAAGATGTTGGGCTTGTTTTCACATTGTGGATTTTGTTTTTTATTGTGGTCATAATAGCTTATAACATAGTGAGATTTCAGTTGTACATTATTATTTGTTATACACCATGTAAGTATGCCCCTTCACCCCTTGTGCCCTCCACTCCTTGTCCCCAGGTAACCACTAATTTGTTCTCTTTGTCCATAAGTTTGTTTATCTTCCACATATCAGTGAAATCATATGGTGTTTGTCTTTCTCTGTCTGGCTTATTTCGCTTAACATGATGCCCCAAGGTTCATCCATGTGGTGGTGAGTGGGATGATTTTGTCTTTTTTATGGCTGAGTAGTATTCCATTGTATATATATAGCACATCTTCTTTATCCAAGTGTCAGTCAATGGGCACTTGGGTTGCTTCCACTCCTTGGCTATGGTGAATAATGCTGCAATGAACATAGGGGTGCATAAGTCTCTTTGACTTGTTCATGTCAAGTCATTTGGATAAATACCCAGTAGTGGGATAGTTGAGTCATGTGGTATTTCCATTTTTAACTTTTTGAGAAATCTCCATACTGTTTTTCACAGTGGCTGCACCAGTTTGCATTCCCACCAGCAGTGGATGAAGGTTCCCTTTTCTCTGAAACCTCTCCAACATTTGCTGTTTTTTGTCTTGGTGATTACAGCCTTTCTAATGGGTGTAAGATGATATCTAAGTGTAGTTTTGATTTGCCTTTCCCTGATGATTAGTGATGTTGGGCATCTTTTCATGTGCCTATTGGCCACCTATACATCTTCTTTGGAAAAATGTCTGTTCATATCTTCTACCCACTTTTTGATTGGGTTGTTTATTTTTTTGTAGTTAATTTGTGTGAGTTCTTTATATATTATGGAGATTAACCTCATTGGATATATGATTTGCAAATAGTTTCTCCCAGTTGGTGGGTTGTTTTTTCATTTTGATCTTGGTTTCCTTTGCCTTCCAGAAGCTCTTTACTCTGAGGAAGTCCCACTTGTTTATTTTTTCTTTCGTTTCCCTTGTCTGAGTAGACACGGTATTTGAGAAGATCCTTTTAAGTCTGATGTCAAAGGCTGTACTGCCTATATTCTCTTCCAGAAGTTTTATGGTTTCAGGTCTCACCTTCAAGTCTTTGGTCCATTTTGAGTCTACTTTTGTGCATGGGGAAAGATAATGGTCTACATTCATTCTTTTGCATGTGGCTGTCCAGTTTTCCCAGCAACATTTATTGAAGAGGCTTTCCTTTCTCCATTGTATGTTCTTGGCTCCTTTGTTAAAGATTAGCTGTCCATAGATGCATGGTTTTATTTCTGGGCTTTCAATCTGTTCTATTGATGTGTGTGTCTGTTTTTGTACCAGTACCATGCTGTTTTGATTACTATAGATTTGTAATATATTTTGAAGTCAGGGAATGTTGTGGATCTTGAAAGTGTCAATAACCATTTCTTGACAGTGTCAAAGATAGAGATGACCTTGGTTTCCCAAGTAATTTTCAGGAAATTAACCAAAGTTGAGTGTTCAAATGAATCTCTAGAGGAGGATGTCATAATTGTAAATCATAATGGTACTCCTAGAGAAAGTTGGATGCAATAAAAATCTTGCCATCAAAGATGGTGTGCCAAGACAAAGCCATTGAGGCACCCAGGATTTCTGGGTAGAATGTATGAGATCCTTTTGGAGGTGAAGGAAAATTATGGCTGGAAGCTGTTGGGGCTGTTAAAATAAGCCCTAAACAGAACATATTGGCCAAATCTATAATAGACAGATATTTACCTATTGCTGATTGGATGGAATTAGTAATTATGACAACATTGGGCAGGACCACAGCTTAAGGTTGTAGTAATTCATTGTGAGATGCCATCCATTCTTTTCAAGTTAAAGAACAGGCAAAATTTGGGTTAAACAGAGAAGCAGTGGGGATAATAACTCTACTCTGAATAGATCTTGCATAAGGGGTTTCAATTCTTGAATGCCCTGTTGTAATTAACGATTAGTCATATTATCTATTTTAACTAGGGGTGGGGGCATCCATAGGATCTCATTTTGTGAAGCCAATTTGTAAGTGCCAATGACTTGATTTTAATTAATTACTCACTGGGTCAGATCATCATGCCTTCTCTTGGACATTTTAGGACAATGTGTGCTATGACCATGGAGAATTTAGGCAAGGCGACAGTTCTGATGATTAAGATGAGGCATACATCTTTGATGTCTGTTTTATTTCAGTAACATCACTAACATTATAGGGAGTACCATGTTTGAATTTAGTGGGATCCCACTAAGTCAGCATCTAGGTTATGGAGGCACAAAGGAGAACCTCATTTTTAAAAAAAAGATTTTATTTTACCTTTTTCGCCCCAAAGCCCCCGGTACGTAGTCAGATATTTTTAGTTGTGTGTCCTTCTAGTTGTGGCATGTGCGATGCCACCTCAGCATGGCTTGATGAGTGGTGCTATGTCCATGCCCAGGATCCGAACCGGCGAAACCCTGGGCCACTGAAGCGGAGTGCGCAAACTTAACCACTTGGCCACCGGGCCAGCCCCCAAGAGTCTCATCGTTTTACCTTTTTTGTTCTATAGATAATTTAGGAAATTTTGGATTTCCAATTAGGTCAAATTGTGGATCTCTGTTCTAGTTCTTTGCTTCCTCCTCCTGAATCCAGTTTCCTTCCTTCCTACCTTCCTCCCCCACTCCCTTTCTTCCTTCCTCCCTTCTTCCCTCCCTGCCTGCCTCCTCACCTCCATTCCTCTCTTCCTCCCTTCCTTCCTTTGTCTTAGAGACTATTCTTGGAGGGGACCCCATTAAAGGTGGGCTGATTTGCAAGTAAGAGCATAAATGCTGAAAGTGTACACTTGCCTTGGTCAGCAGAGCCAAAGAAAGAGGAGAAAGTCCCTGAAGATGGTAGTCAACATCTCCATGAGCCTGCTCAGAATGTCAAGTGTTAAGACCAGGTTGTAAGGCCAGGCTGGATCACCACTCAAAATTTGGTTCAGTGTCAGGACGGCTGATGCCACACACACCAGAAGGATCTGAAAATGTTTATTGCTCATATAATGAGGTTTATGGGGAAAGCAGGGTGGTTACCCAAGAAGGTCCAAAATGACTTGAGGGCCCAGGGATGGGAGACTAGCCTGAAGTGTTTATGGTGGTTACTGGGTGGGGCTGTTGGGAGGGTCTGGCACGACTAGGGTCTTGTTTGGTTTGAACTTCTCACCTGCACCAAAGGCTGGAGCACCCATGCTTTCTCATCAGCTTTTCCCAGGTGTGGGGAAAAAGAGAAGAGAGAAGCGTGAGTCCTGAAAGTCTGGATGGAGATGCCATCTCTATCTTTGAAGGTGTTTCCCATAAAAACATCCTTGAAAATATAGTGTGGAGCAGTGAGTACCTTACTCCTGATACATGCAGAAACATTACTCATGTGCTCAAGTCATAGAAGTGATTTTTAAAAATTTTTGGTGCTAGATTCACTGACAGTTGTATAATATTCTACCTACTGTACATAAACTACAGGAAGAAAAGGAAGCAGAGTCACTGTTCATCCTTCATAATCTCTCGCTGCACAGACCATCACAGGTTGAGAGTCACGTCCAATACAGAAGTAAGGCTTTAGCACTTCAGAAAATGTATCCGTGAAAGAATGGATGTGAGACCTGTCATTCAAACTGTAAAATGAAATGTTACCCAACTCACAGTCCAGATAAATGCCAACCCCTCTGGGCTTTTCCTTCAGCACAAGAGGGACAGGAACAGCGCCTTGTGCCACATAGTCACCATTCTGCAGCTGAATTGTCCAGCGTCTGCTGTGTCCTGAAGGGGGCCGCTTTCCCTTTCTGGAAAGGGAATCTGTACAAACCCCCACGGCCCACGCAGGCTTGTCATCCACCTGGACCTCCCAGTAATGTCGGCCACAGTCGAACCCTTCAGAACCCAGGACAACTGGATCCACTGTAAATCTCTTTGGATTGCGAGGAACTCTTTGCTTTTTCCTCACAAATGTCACAGCCTTTTTGTCCTCAGAGACAAGCAGATTAGGATGTGCTGTTTCAGGATCCAGAGTAACTTCTTCTTTAAATTTCTGAATAATTTTCCGCAGAGCCGAATACTGCAGAGGGAGGCTGCATCCCTCTTTCCTTAACTGAATCGAGTAGGGAGCTGGGGGGTCCAGGCGCTCGCACCTGTGGAGGATGCTCCTGATGTCAGTCAGCAGTCTCACCTCAGACATCGCGCACCTCTCTGCCACCTCCTTCAGTAGGCCTCTGAGGGTGGAAATGTGGTCTGAACATGCGGTAATGTTTGCACTGAGTTTCCGGTGAATGTCCCTCTCTTCCTCAGCCAGCCTTGCCAGAACCGCCTCTTGCTCACGTGCTATAGACCGGTTCAGGTGCTCAAACTCAGAGGCTAATTTCCGTCTCTGATTTTGCACCTTCTCTCTCAGTTCCAAGGGCTTTTTGCTTTGAATGCTTATTAATTTCTGAACATCTGCCACCTGCTTCTTCAGGGGCTCGATGTAACTGCTGAGTCTCTGCCTGTGATGAGAGGCGGCCTCCTCCAGGGGCCTCACCTGGTGGCCCTGGTGGTCAGGGGGCTGAGTGCACAGGGCACACAACACCTCCAGGTCCTCCTCACAGAAGAGGGTCAGGACCTGGTTGTGCTTCTCGCACAAGCGCCTCTCTTCCTGCCTCTTCTTCTTGTTCCTGGTGATGTGGAGGAGCTTGGTGACGTCGATCATCCTTCCCAGCTGGGCGTTGCTTCTGAAGTGCCTCTGTTGGCACGGGTGACGGCAGACGGGGCAAAGGAACATGTCCCAGCGGTCTTCCCAGGACTGTTGGATGCAAGATCGACAGAAGTTGTGGCCACATTCGATTGTGACAGGGTCTCTCAGATAATCCAGACAGATGGGACAGTTGGCTTCTGCCTGGAGTCCTGCCAGGGCTGCTTCGACCGCCATTGCACTGTGAATGAAGGACTGGACCGAGGTGGGTTTTCTTCAGGAGGTTGGGCTCTGCAGCATTTCTCCATGGAACAGACACACCCTCAGATCTCACCGTGCTTCCTGTCCTGAATGTCTTGTTCCTGTGAGGCCACTGGCCTCGGGTGCACAGGTAGGTGTCCAGAGGAGCTCCTTGATCACAGAGTAGTTGAATCCGAGCTCAGCACTGCTCTTGGTCAGAAAGCAGACATGACCCTAAAGGGCCTATTCTTTCCTGAGGATGAGAAAATACTGTTTCATGTAAACAAGGCTACCATTCCTCTTGTGGCCCTGCTCACTGCCATGTTTGAGGGAAAACCAATTCTTCTCTCCACCCCCGGGATTCCACCTATACCCATAACTACGGAGGGGCACCATGGGACTATGGAAAGATATGGGCACCGGGACTTGAGAGCCTGGCCCTGGGTGAGATTCCCCCTCAGTCATCTACTATCAGGGGCACCTGGGGAAAGTTGCATAACATCCTCGTCTCTAAGAGAATTAGGTAAATGAGCATAAAAATTACGACCTCAATCATTTTAATCTTGTCAAAAATCTGATAAAATAATATTCAATTAAAGATACTTTGGCTTAAGCCCCACAGATATTTCTTAAAGCACAGCACTGAATTCATAATATATCAAAATACTTTTCACTTAAACTTCTCAACTGCAGGGTATATCCAGTTATGTACATAAGCGGATGGGATTTGGACTAAATGAGATTTACTCTGAGGACCCTGCCAAGTTGGAAAACTGTGATTTTCACATGATGCACAGAATGAAATGGGAGATCAGGAATTCAATGTGAGCTGAAGCTGAGAAACACACACACATGGATACAGCTACCCACTGAAGTCAATGGTGAGCTACCAACTGGAGAGGATTGGTGGGGACAAGATCCCAAGAGGAGAGCATGGAATTTTCCCTTATAAGCAGTTACTGATTCCAAAATTGAGACTGAGAGGCAAACTCTCAGGATGAAGAGAACACACTTGGAGTTCAGAGCACCTCATAGAGAATGTGTCCTGGTAAAATACTCCAAAGTTTAAATTGGGTTCAGTGAAGTGCTACGTACTAGAAGAATCATGAATGGACTACCCCTTAAAGAGCCCATTGATTTAATCAGCTCAAACCCTGATAGTTTAAGACAATCTCTGTCTGATTGCTAGAGACCCCAAAATGAGTTTCAAAGTGTTAAGATATAAAGTCTTGCTGATGTGCTGTCTCAGGAACATTCACACACAGCTGGTGAGAATGCAAGTTGGTACAACCACTTTTCATATTTTGCAAAGATGCATACATATTTATTTATTATTTTGTGCGTGTGTGTGAGGAAGATTGACCCTGAGCTAACATCTGTGCCAACCTTCCTCTATTTTGTGTGAGATGCCACCACCGTGTGGCTTGATGAGCGGTGCTAGGTCCGCACCCAGGGTCCGAAACTGAAAACCCCAGGCCTCTGAAGCAGAGGGCACGAATTTAACCACTATGCCACCAGGCCAGCTCCCAATGCACACATATTTAAAATAGCTTATCAAGTACAATAGTGTGAATTCCTGGGTGGGAGAGAATGGGAGTAGAGAATGAGGATTAAGGGGGAAACTAAAAGTTAAGAGATTAGCCTTGCATGAATAATGACAATATACAATGAACTGCTAAGGTCCTCAAAATGACCAAACAACAATGAAACAAGCAAGAAAATTCAATGAGTCTGAATAACTTCCCTCTGAGTAGCAAAAAACCACAGAAATAATACACTATACATGCTGAGTGGTAAGTGAATTTGTTAACCTAATATCTTTTGAAAAAATTATTAATTAAGCTCAAAATGAACAATGCATATTTTAAAAGATCTAATGATACAGAAACGTATAGGATCAAGTTTTCCTCTACCTTCTCCCTCCCTGACTCCACTAACCCACTAACCCATCCCTTAAACACAATTGCATCACCTTCCCAATGTTAGTTCCTGTAACCTTTCCATGTATGTTTCTGAATCATTTTTTATTTTATATATTTAGAGACACATGTAACTCTTTTCCAAATTATATATATATATATATATAAATGCAATGGATTCATCCTATACATATTATTTCATAGCTTGCTTTTTTTACAATTTAAATTAGTTTTGTGCTTTTTAATTTTCACTTTTTTAAATTGAGATATAATTGGCATATAACATTGTATTAGTTTTAGCATACAACATAATGATTTGATATATGTATATATTGTGAAATGATTACCACAATAAGTTTGGCTAACAATTCATCAGTACACAGTTATAAATTTTTTGTGTGTGATGAGAACTTTTAAGATCTATTCTCTTAGCAACTTTCAAATATACAATACAATGTTGTTAGCTATAGTCTCTATGTTGTACATTACATCCCCAGCATTTGTTTATCCTATAACTGGAAGTTTGTACCTGTTGACTACCTTCACCCATTTCATCCACCCCACTACCCACCTGCCTCTGACAACCACTAATCTGTTTTCTATATCTATGAGTTTGGTTTTTTTTTTTATTTAGTTTTTTTTAAATTAGATTCCACATATGAGTGAGATCATACAGTGTTTGTCTTTCTCTGTCTGACTTATTTCACTTAGCGTAATTCAAAACCTCAAGAACCATCATGTCTCAAATAGCAGGATCTCCTTTTTTATGGCTGAATAATATTCCATTGAATATATACACATCACATTTTCTTTATCCATTCATCCATTGATGGATACTTAGGCATTTCCATATCTTGTCTATTGTAATAATGCTGCAGTGAACATATGGGTGCAGGTATCTCTTCAAGTTAGCACTTTTGTTTTCTTCAGATAAATATCCAGCAGTGCAATTGCTAGATCATATGGTAGTTCTATTTTAATTTGGAGGGGACCCTCCATACTGTTTTCCATAGTGGCTGCACCACTTTACATTCCTACCACTGTGGACAAGTGTTCCTTATTCTTCGCATCCTCACCAACACTAATTTCTTGTCTTTCTGATAATAGCCATTCTAACAGGTGTGAGGTGATATGTCACTGTGGTTTTGATTTGCATTTCCCTGATGATTAGTGATGTTGAACACCTTTTCATGTACCTGTTGGCCATTTGGATGTCTTCTTTGGAAAAATGTCTATTCAATTCCTCTGCCCATTTTTAAATCAGATTGGTTCTTTCCTATTGAGTTGTATGAGTTCTTTATATATTTTATTTCTGAACTCCTTATCGGATATATGATTTCCAAATATTTTCTCCTGTTCGGCAGGTTGCCTTTTGATTTTGTTGATGGTTTCCTTTGCTGTGCAGAAGCTTTTTCAGTTTGATGTAGTCCCACTTGTTTATTTTTGCTTTTATTTTACCCTTTTTAAAGTGTTACAATATTATGCATGCTTTCTTATGATATTCATGAATAATTGGCACAGCTAAAAACGATTTCACTGCAATTTTCTAAATAGTTTCCCATTTTGCACATCAATAGAATATTCAAAAGTATAAGCAAGAAATGGAAAATCATCACTTTTAGGTACTATGGAAACCAAGCTGTTTCTTATCATTAAAACAGAAATCTGAATATGCACACAAAAGAAATAAGATGCTTTGCATGTTGTTTTGGAAAAAGATATCTAGCCATGTGCAGATATTATATATTCCACAATGCTAATTCCTAGTATCATAACTGTTCTTTACAATTGTCCTTAAAGACAGAATATTTCCCATGTTAAAGGAAAGAGTGGGATTTTTTTCTCTCCTTAAAATCTTTTCATCTTGCATGATTTCGACCCACAGAAATGTTATAAGAAGAGTATAGTGGGCATAGGGTACTCTTCATCTAGAATCACTTGTTTTTATTTTGCCTCATTTCTTTATCTCTCTCTGCTAATACATAGCTTTATTTTTCTCTTCTGAACCATTTTAGAGGATAAATGCTAGAATAGATATCCCATAAGAATAAGGGCTTGCAGCTCAACAACAAAAAAATCAAACAACCCGATCAAAAAATGGGCAGGGGACATGAACAGTCATTTCTCCAAAGAAAATATATGGATGGCCAATAGACACATGAAAACATGCTCATCATCACTAATCCTCAGGGAAATGCAAATAAAAACTACACTAATATATCACCTTACACCTGTTAGAATGGCAAAAATATCCAAAACCAAGAGTGACAAATGTTAGAGAGGTTGTGGAGAAAAAGGAACCCTCATACACTGTTGGTGGGAATGCAAACTGGTGCAGCCACTATGGAAAACAGTATGGAGATTTCTCAAAAAGTTAAAAATAGAAATACCTTATGACCCTGCCATCCCACTACTGGGTATCTATCCTAAGAACCTGAAGTCAGCAATTCCAAAAGTCCCATGCATTCCTATGTTCATCGCAGCATTATTCACAATAGCCAAGACATGGAACCAACCTAAGTGCCCAGCAACTGATGATTGGATAAAGAAGATAATGGTATATATATACAATGGAATACTACTCAGTTATAAAAAAGGACAAAGTCGTCCCATTCACAACAACATGGATGGACCTTGAGGGTATTATGTTAAGTGAAATAAGCCAGACAGAGAAAGATGAACTCTGTATGACTCCACTCATAGGTGGAAGTTAACATATAGACAAACAGAACTGATCAGTGGTTACCAGGGGAAAGGGGGGGTGGGGGAGGGCACAAAGGGTGAAGTGGTGTACATACAACATGACTAACAATAATGTACAACTGAAATTTCACAAGGTTGTTAACTATCATAATCTTAATAAAAAAAAGAATAAGGGCTTGCTCCTGCATAACCACAATGCAGTTACCACATCAGGAAATTTAGCATTGGTACAATACTGTTATGTTATCATGAATGTAGAGTCCTATTCAAATTTCCCCAGTTATCCCGGTAATGCCCTTTATAGATTTCTTTTCCTGATCTAAGATCCAATCAAGGATCTCAAACTACTATTAGTTGCTCTGTCTTTTTAGTCTCCTTTAATCTAGAAGAGTCCTCAGCCTCACTTTATTTTTCCTAAAGTCGACATTTTTGAAGAGTCTAAGCTACTTGTTATGCAAACTTCCCATGATAGGGATTGTCTGATTATTTCCTTTTTCGATTCAGGTTAAGCATTTTAGGAAGGAATACTGTATGTGTGATGTCACATCCTCCTCAGTGCATCACATGGGGTTTACATATTGTTCCTAAGAAGCATGTTTTTTTATTGGATCATAAATACCATTTTTTTTGT